CAGGATTTGGAAATATTGTGAAAAATTCTTATTCTCTCAGAACAAACCGTATCTCGTTATAGGCCAGGGCAGATAAATTTTTTCGTAACATAAAATTTAACAGCAAACTATCGATGCAGTATTGTTTCTCCATGGAATACTGTCATTTCAAGGAATACTTGTCGTTAAGGCTCCCCTAAAATAGTTGGTGGAAACGGCTATTAGTCTTTCTTCTCCCATAGTTGTAGGTACGTGAGTCATTTTTTATGAATTTTAGTTAGCTGAATTTTCGCTCATTGGTTGCTACTGAATATCCTGCAGTAAAAAGGAGTTGGCATAATTGAAATGCTTTCTTAAGTACATTCTTATTTTTCAATGCTACTTTCATTACATGTTGTATATTATCAGTAGTTGTGGTATGTTTATTACATAGGTCAAAGAGAATTTCAATCTCTGCTGCAAGAGCCAAGAGCGTATGCATCTGGTCTAAAATTTGGAGCATATAATATAAATCAAGTATAGACTGAAATCAAGTACTAACTTGACATTTGTCATAGATAGGTACAGTTGCGATAGAAAAAAAGTAGTACAAGAAAAATCTCCATAATCTTCTGGTCTATTATACATTAATTTAATTCATAACCAAAAATTACATACACTCAACCAAATAGTAGCATAAATAAAAAGAAGTTGTTCTTTGATTTAATGAACAATTCATCAAAATCGGTCCAAAGAACTGCTTCTTTGATCACATGAACTTTACGTTATTAAAGGAAGAACAATTTCTTAATTCCTAGTTCAATTCATCTTGTGTATGAACAACGAACGTTGAAGTATGTGGCAAGATTTTTGTATTAATGAAACTTTCCATAGTGACAATGAACAACGTTCTTAGTTTATATGTACTTTTTCATTGGCCTGATAAACAGACGGCATAATATTTATGAAGCCCAGATGTAGGTAATTCGATGAAACCCTTTCATTGTATTTATGAATCAAAGTCTTGAATACTAAGAATTTCATTCATTGTATTTATTAATGCCGTTTTCAATAATATGTACCCTATTCTTTATTTTTATTGAATTATGCCTTAAATATACTTATCATTTTAAATGGGGTACAGGGTCATTTTTTATATTTGCGTGACCCCTGTAGTACTGGTGAATATGAGCAATAGGAAAAAAGCTTCTAATGCAAAAGTTGTATGATTTCTTCGTATCATCTTCCAGAATTGTCAAACAAACCAATGGGCATCCCAAAATCTGAAAATTCAAAAATCCTTATGTATTTTTTTCTGAGATTGACAAGAAATGTCAGCATTTTTGACCGGTTGACAGGTCGCAAAATCCAATATTCTGGTATTTTAATTATGTCTCAATAGTTGCTAAGGGATCAATGAATAACAATACGAGAATCACTTTTCAGGCCTAGGCCGGGAAAGTGATTCTTGTACTGCTGAACAAATGAAGCAAAAATACAAACGTTTAACAGATATTTAACCGATCTCAGAAAAAATAGTATGTGTATTTCGGTGGAAAAGCACATTCTCGACCTTCGGTGTTTGCCGTCCTCGGCTACGCCTCGCCCGTCAACTTACACCGTCGGCCGAGAATGTGTCACTTTTCAACCTAAATACACAATGTACTATTATTTCAAATGACACTAACTTTATATTGTAGGTACTATCTTTGAAATCCTCCTTAAATCCTGTTTCCATAAATATATAATACTATGTCTATGTTTGTTCCAGGTGTTTTTGAACTATCAACATCCAAAATTTCTAAAACAAACCACGTCAGAAAATTAGATTTGATGTCTTGGCTGGTTTCCTTGCCTCAGCTATGAAACACTAGCTACCTACGCCATTGAATCTTGTGCTTTTCTACCTAGTGAAACAAAACCATTTAACAAAAATATATCGATGAAAAAAATTACAACTTGATTTGAAATTGGGTATACTTACTTTTAGAGACTTCAGTATTCCTTAGAATTTCCGAGGAGCTCTTGACGCTTTTGTCTTTCACGTTCTCCCCGGATGACATTAAAATCTGTAGGTCATTTCTTTCACATTCCCATTTTGAGCATCAAAGTCCTACCTACATAATAGGTATACATATTATGGAGGTAATAAAGGTATACAACTTACCTTTTAGAAAAAAACGGCGACAGGTATAACTGACTTTCTATTTAACACCTCGAACAACACAAGACCGAAAAAACTGACTAGAACGAAATACGTAGCAATGCATCCAGAAAATAGAAATGTAATTATTCTTATTTTAACATATTTTTCTATGTCGTTGCCCGACTCCAGCTACCTTTGCGCATGTGCTTAGGAACTGTGTACATTAATGGCATGAACTGTTCATTGTATTTATGATTTATCTTGATCTAATGGTTACAGCTTTGTTTCTAGGAATATTTGCTTGTTTCAAATGAACCGTACATTGTATGAATGAATTTCTTTCTTAGGTCGGGTATTATAAAACTGCTTTGACAGTTAACTTGAAGTTAACTCTTTGAATTACATGTAATTTTAGAAGTTAACTTCAAGTCTATTGAACAGGTTACCCATATCAAATATCTTGGTTTGGTTGTAGATGATAAACTTACTTGGTCAATGCATATTAACTACCTGCGCGAAAAAATTCTTCCAATTATACCTGCATTATTTAAGCACCGACACTATCTAACAAAAAAATCTAAATATAATGTTTATAATGCTTTCGTTCTGCCTCACTTACGATATCTTATTCCCGTGTGGGGATCTAGTGCCCAGTGTCACATTACTGAGATAATGACATTGCAAAATACTGTTGTGAAAATTTTATTCAATTTTGACAGACTCACAAATTCAGCTATATTATATGAAGAGCTAAACATAAGTCCGATAATTAAAATATATGAATTCGAGCAGGATAAACTTATGCATAAAATATTAGAACAAAGTCAGAAGAGCAATATTAATATTATTTTATCGAATGATGTACACCACTATAATACCAGAACCAACTGTGATATTTACCAAATTGTAACTAAAACTAATATAGGTCTCAATAATCCAATAGTCCGAGCTTCCAAATCTTATAATAAGGTACCTGGAGAAATTAAAAATGTAAGAAATTTCAATATATTTGTAAAAAAGCTTAAGCAACACTTAGACATAAGGTAAACAAAAACTGAGATTGTTTTCTCAAGACCAGTGCTTACAGGCACTGTTTAGAGAAATTATATTATTGTTATTGTAATGAATGATTTAAGAAATAAACGATTTTCAAAAAAGTTAACTCTCAAAATAGTTTTATAATACCCGCCCTTAAAAGGATAAGTTTATAGTAAGGCTATATGAACCATATTCATATTATTCATATTAATATTCATTTATATTATGAACATTCCGTGGAAGCTCCATCAAAGAAATTTTCTTTAATATCAGGGTTTAATTTCATAATATCAATGAACTTAGTTCATGTAACCGATGCACTATTCAACATAGATTCATGTAGATGACTATTCATAACTTACTGAAGCATCGTTTAATAGCTGTCCATGAAATCATGATACTTACAGTTTTCTGTACTTAGGATTAATGAAAATTTCACTGAATCAATGAAAATGTAATTGATGAAAGCAGTTCATCGATATTATGATGAAGATTTTTTTGAGTGTATTTTTGGAATTTTTCAACAAGTTTCTAACTAGAAGGCTTCAGATGACATTACTTTGGCATTTTTCCACCTGTTTTTAACCTAGAATATGTCATTGCCTGAACTAAACATATTTCGAAATGTTTATTTACTGTCAAAATTTTGTATGTTACACCGGGAGCTCACATTGGGGATACATACTTAATAAGTTTTGTAGGTACTACTTTTTTTTGATCGCAACTGTAAATTATGTCTAGAGAGAGGAAATGAAAATAAACAGGTGAATCCGTTTTTGAAAATAATAGATAAATTATCGTTTAAAAAACCTACTAAGGTATCTAAAACTTTAGAAAATTCCATTCTTTAGAACGTGTTTAGGTCAATTTTAGAAGTGTTAAGACTGTCCTTTTCTCTTACCAACTGGCGTGGGGATTGGAAACCAACTAGACATTTTTTTTACCAACCCCCCTATCCGCTCCTGATATCTCCATTAGCTCTTCAAGAACTTGTGCGTCCGATTGTGCAGCTGAAAACGTCGCTATCCCTAATCCAGATCTTCACTATGCCTCTAATTAAGCGGAAAGTGTGCCTTTAAGCGACGGCAAAGTTTTCCAGGATTTTTTCCTTAAATTTGGGCTGAGCTAACGACTAAGAGATAAATCCGCATCGACGTGGACCCAAAAATGGTTTATTTATTAGCTGGGGCTTATTGGGGAGTGTTTTTTGTCCAAGTAAATCGACATTTATTTAATTACTTTTGGGCTTTTGTAGAGCGAATCCCATTAGGTGTTTCCATGGGTATTTTCATTCCAATAATGAATTATTATGAATTACATTAGACTTGTTATTGGGAGCAGAATAAGTTATGAGTTCGACAAAATAAAGCCTACTTTACAACTAAGTTTAAAAATTAACCAAAGCGTTATAAAATAGAATAAAGAGGCTTTGTTTGCCATGGAACTTATTAAGCTTATTTGTGTAGGCGCTGAATTCAAGGAACCCTATACAATATTCCGCCCTCTCAATTTAACTTATTCTTACATCGAAACGGGGTATTTCTTTGAATTGTTTTGTTTGTGGATACTTAAGTAATAGATACCTAATACCTACTTATTCAGTGACATTTTAGAAATTATTTTCAGTGAGCCGGGTAAATGCCACATTATTTATCGATTTTGAAATAGAAATGTTGGATGGAAGTGGCATCTTTGAATAAATAAACATAAAAATAATATATGGTAAAGAAATTAATGAGTAAATGCCCCACTTTGTAAAAGATTATTTCACTGGAATCAATAAAACATTATTATAAGAATGTTCCAATAACAGTTGCATTAGAAAATAATGGCAATTTTATTTCGGATAGGTAGCTGTTGTTGAAATAACTAAAAAAGTTGTATCCAATGAAATTCTATAGGCCTCAATCCAAGAATAAAATTGATTTAGTATTATGTCATTATATTCATATAAACGAGTATCATTGAGCCATGATGACAAAACGTAAATTTTTGTCTTTTTCTATAGCTAATAAGTAACTTTAGAGTGACATATTTTGTTCTTCTTCAGTTTCGTCAGGCTCTTCTTCATTGGTCCATAGGAAATCCAACGTGTCATCTTCTTCTATTTGAGCCTCCTTCCGTTTATTGATAATACACTGCCAAGAAGCACGCCTGTGTTCAATTTCCATAAGTGCCCGATCAAGTTTTTCGTTTTGCCGTTGCAATTCAATAGCCACCATTTCTATAATCGCTGCTTGCTCTGTTATAGTACTTTTCAAGGCTTTACGTCTGGGCAAACCTTGTTCCGCGTTCACCATCTGTAAATCGATGTCACGTATGTCTTCTATTGATTTCGTAATTTCTTGTTCGAGAGATATCAGTAAATTTTGGTGGCTTTCTACTTGATTGATAAGAAATTCTTCTTCAGAATCCTGGGTTAAATCGTTAAATCTTGGATCAATTGAGTTGGTGTTGAATTTTTGCGTGATGTTTCGTTCGCGTTCTTCTTGATTGCTTAGAAATGTTCTTAGGAAATTTGCCATTGTTTTTTTTTCTTGGATGTGATTGATGAGTATGAATTTAAAACGCCACGGGAAAAAAAACGTCAAATTTACTGTTTACCAGTTAGTCTATGTTATCAGTAAGACACTGACAGTACTAGGTGACCAGTCAAACCAGTCGATTTGGGTTTTTACAAAACATGCCTTTGGAAGTTTTCTAAATAGTAGCTTTTCAACACATTCAGCATTTAGAAGAATTTGTAATTATTTTTCGGCGACAAAATTTCATGTTTGCTCCAAATCAAATTTCGTTTGAACCGATAAAGTTTGAAACTTCACTTTTATTTAAAATGGATCATTTGAACTTTAAGTTGAAATAGGTTTTATACACTCGAAAACAAAATTGAAACATGAATTTCCACTAATATTTTATTTTCCATGTTATCAATTATTATTCCGCCCAAACGTATATATAAAATTCTATTCCATGGCTAACATAAGATTCCATTTGGATTGTAACGAAAGTGTGTCCTACACCTCCCTCAGTAATATTGGCAGAACCTCCAGTTTGTTGACTTTTCTGGTTCAGAGCTTTTATGCAATAGATTATCTGGTCACCGTGCCAGTGAGACTAAAAAAAAAAAATCCTTATGAACCTGTCACGATATTTGAAAAAAATTTGCTTACTTTTCCACTTCTAGTAAAAAACGGTATTCTAGTCAAATGAAGGTAGTCATGGAAAACCAAATCGGCATCAGTGGTATTGGTGCATTTTCCATAGATTATATCGTGACCAGATGGAGCTGTCAAGTTTCCACTAGTAATTTGGGTTGTTGGTAGGCCCAAAACCACAGCCCAACCCACCACAAAAGTCGTGAGAAAAATTATTTTCATTTTTGTACTTCATTTGGAAACATCTACCAACCGTGTTATTTATATAGTTAGTAAGTACCTATATCTTATCTTTATTGATTATGTTTGACTAAATAAAATTATTATTTAAGTTTTAAGCAGAATCTAGGCAGTTCAGATAAGTATTTATTGGAAAATCTATTATTAGTTATAATAAGTAAAAACAAATAGGAATATTTTCATACCATTTTGATTTAAGTTTTTATTGCATATTTCATTGAAGCAGTAAGTGTAATAGTCCAGGAGCCAGTGAAATTTTTTCAGCACTTAATTTCCTAGTTGCTACTTATCTGTTAAATGTTTGTATTTTTGTTCCAATTGTTAAGCAGTACGAGAATCACTTTCCCGGCCTAGGCCGGAAAAGTGATTCTCGTATTGTTATTCATTGATTCCTTAGCAACTATTGAAACATAATTAAAATACTAGAATATTGGGTTTTGCGACCTGTCAACCGGTCAAAAATGCTGACATTTCTTGTCAATCTCAGAAAAAACATGTTCTGTTGTATTTTTTGACCCAAAATTATTCGAAAACGAACCTAATTTTGATAAAATCGATCCGCAATTAAAAATTATAATTTCTTGGTCCGCCATTTTGCGAATGGGTGCCATCTTGCTCCTTTACTGGCCCGGTATAAGTATCAAAAAAATGAGAAATTAACGAAAAAAAAAAAAAAACTTTAGGCCAAGAGAAGTCGAATGGCGCAAACCGCAGGTGGCTAGCATACTTGGTTCAAAAGTTATGAGCATTTTTGACATGGGTCACTCTCGGCTGGGACACCCTGTATTATTCAAATTCAATGACTTAATTATATATTTTCTTGCATTTTCCGATCAAAAATTATTCGATAACGACTCCAATTTTGCTGAAATCGATTCACAATCCCAATTTTAACTTCTTGATAGCCGCCATTTTGCAAATGGTCGCCATCTTGCTCCTATGGGTTCGACAAGAAGGTCATGCGGATCAAATCGCTTATAATTGTAAAAAAATCATCTGTACGAAATTTCATGCTTTTATCACAATTTGCAAGATTCTGCTCATTTTTTTGATTAACCGCCCCGACTATTGTAAAATCCAGAATGAACGCGATAATGTCCTTTCTTCAACAAGGCAGTATTTTCTAGATTTTCAGGTTTGAATTCTGTTTATGCTGGCTCAATGAAGACTACCTACCCTAAGGAAACTGGTAAACTAAGATTAACTCTAGTAGATAAATATAAGCAACAAATAGACTTAAATACTATTAAAGTGTGAACATCAAAGAAACACTTTAACTTGTTCATGTATTTCAAGCGAAAATGAGTTTTAATTCAGTGGAAGCAAAGATGGAGTTGTAATAAAATACTCTCTAGAAACTTTTTTAAAAGTTGGACATGTACCTGTTCCAAATAACAACAGTCGGGACCTAAAAGGGCACACAAGTGAAATTTTGAGCTTGATCATATCAACAGACATTAAATATTTAGCAGTAAGTCTCAAAACTGGAAATGATCACATTTGGGACCTTCTGCATTAAAATACTTAATATACACAAAAACATTCAATCTATGGTTTTGTTTTGAAAAAAAACCCCACAGTAGCAAATAATAAAAGTTTGTAGTTTGGATGAAATGGCTTACGTAGAGACACTATTTGGACGTCAGAACATAGTGGCTTCAATCGATACACTATGGAGACAGAGTGAGGAAACTCAATTAATCTATAATGGACATTTGGGTAATATTGATATTGTAAGACTCATCAATGAAGAACATTTTGTATCTGCAGGAGACGATGGACAAATTTGTATTTGGAATGTCATGAGAAAAAAAAAACCTTCACAATGCACTTAAATTGCACTGCTGTAGCAGCCTTAATAATAAATACAGATTACAATAATAATTACAAATTGGAAGATATTGTAGTGTATTTCTGAGGAACTGAAGAAAACACGTTGGGTAACTTCTAGGATATATTAACTTCAGTATGAGGATAATTACTTTGGAAACTCAGGGCTAGGATATGTTAATGTACACACTACCTTTTTAACTGTACCTGAGTATTATTCTAGTTGCTAACCAACCGTTCAATTATATAGTCAGTGGCATACATAACATTTCCTTCCCACTTAAGATATATAACTATAAATCTAAACGTTGAGGTGCTTTATGTTGTCTAGTACTGCGTCTCAAATTTACCTCATCAGTACTATTCTTAGAGAGAACTTCCAAATTAATAGGCTCGGTTATAGGTAACCTAACTGGACTTTTACAATTGATATTACTATCATCTTGACTTATTGATTCTTTTTCTACACTGTTATTTGGTAATATTTGAGAAGGCACTTCTGACATTTGAGCATCTTGAATATTATCATATTTTAATTTTAATGGAACTGTATAAGAAATATTTGGTACATACTGTGTAGTCAAATTTTTATCCTGCACCTCACCAAAACTATGCATTTTTCTTAAACTGTTCACATGCTTATATAAAAGTCTCTCACCTACTCTAACCAAATATGTAACAGAACTAATACATTTCTCAATAACTCCTTCAACCCATTTTTCTTTACTATAAGGACCTAACTTTCCAACTAATACTTTTTCGTTTGTTACAAAAATGATCGGTTTAATATAATCAAAATTTTTATTAAACAATACTTTTCCTCCCGTTTTAGGTTTTAGTAAATCCAAACGAGTTTTAGGTTTAATTTTGAAAATCATTTAATTAGGACTAAAGAGAAAATTAACGATTTGCTGTTCAACTGTCATAGTTGAATTTTCTGCAATATACTTATTCAGTGAAGCTTTTACCGTCTGTACATGACGTTCTGCACATCCATTAGATTGCGGATGGTAAGGAGGTCTTTTTAGAACATTAATGCCATTATTATGACAAAAACGATTAAACTCATTAGAGTTGAACGGAGGACCATTATCAGATACTATTGTATCTGGTAATCCCAGCAAGCAAAACGTCAATTTTAATTTTTCTATTGTTTGACTAACATCTGTACCTTTATTCATAAAATGTATATCTATCCACCTAGACTTACTATCAACTAATAACAAAAATGTTTTTCCATTTTTATGAAAACAATCAATATGAACTCTTTGAAAAACATTTTCTGTTTTCGGCCAGGATATTAACGCTTTTTCATGATCATTCTGAACTAATCTACAAGTGCTACAAGCCGAAACCATTGCCTCAATATCCTGCTGTAACCCAGGCCACCAGAAAACTGATCTAGCTAACATTTTTGTTCGCACTATACCAATGTGGTTTTCATGGATAATATTTAAAACGTCTTTACGTAACAATAGAGGAATCACAACCCTTATCTTCAATAGATAGCTCATTTCTTTTTAAAAAATAAGGTTTTAAGTTTCCATCCTCAACTTTCTGAGGCCAACCTGTTCTAACAAAACTCATAACTTTTATCAAAATGGAATCTTTACTGGTAACTCTACCAATATCCTCATAAGATAGTGGTAATTCATTTGACAAATTGAATGAATTTAAAGAGCTATCTATTTCTGTAGAATCAGGCAAAGGCAAACGTGAAAGCATATCTGCTTCAAACATTTTTGAACCCTTCCTATACTCAATTTTATACTGATAAGCTGATAAAATTATACTCCATCTTACAATACGCGACGCCGACATTACCGAAATACTACGATCTGGATTAAAAATAATTTTTAATGGTTCATGATCGGAAACTAATATAAATGATCGCCCAAAGACATATTTATGAAATTTTTTTACACTGAATATAATTGCAAGAGCTTCTCGTTCCAATTGCGAATAATTTTGTTCTGCTTTCGACAGCGTTCCCGATGCGAAACAAACAGGCTTTTCCTGGCCAGCAGAATCTCTATGACTCAATAAACCCCCAACACCATAACTACTACTATCACATGATATTACCAGAGTTTTTTTTTGGATCATAATGGGTTAAAACCTGATTATCTTTTATTAGCTGCTAACTTAGCTGAAAAGCGTTTTTACAATCTTTATTAAAGTCAAATTCTTTATCTTTTTCCAATAATTGATACAATGGATGCAACTGAGAGGACAACATTGGAATGAATTTCGAATAATAATTTAACAAACCCAAGTATGACCGCAACTGAGTCAAATTAACAGGCTCAGGTGCCTCCCATATTGCACGCAACTTATCATCTGTAGGATGTATACCTTCTTGATCTATTCTATGCCCCAGATATTCTACTTGATTTTCAAAAAAATTACATTTGTCCAAATTAACCTTGACATTATACCTATCTAATCTACCTAAAACTAACTCCAGTAATTTATATGCATGTTCGAAATCAGTCCCAGAAACCAAAATATCATCTAGATAACAATAGACTCCTTGAATACCACCTAGAATTTGATCCATTACTGATTGGAATAAAGCTGGAGCTGAAGCCACCCCATAAGTTAAACGCGTATACCTAAACATACCCATATGTGTATTTATAGTAAGATATTTTTGAAAATCGGGATGAACCCTAAGTTGTTGATACGCCGCTGTAAGATCAAGTACACAGAATACAGACCCCCCTGCCAAACTTGCAAATATATCCTCTGGTGTAGGTAAAGGATATTGATCTATATTCAAAACTTTATTAACAGTTAACTTAAAATCTGTGCATATACGAACATCATCGGTACCTTTCTTAGGTACAACCACTATTGGTGATGCCCATTCACTAAAAGAGACTGGTTTTATTATACCTACTTTTAGCATTTGCTTAAGTTTTGTTTCTACTTTGGATTTTAAAGCATATGGCATGTTATAAACTTTTTTAACTACCGGAATTGCATTTTCCTTGATATTAAATTTAATTTCAAACCTTTTAATCGGAGAACATAAGTCACCATCAAAAACAGACTTATATTTATTTTTAATTTGACAAACTAAGTCATTAAAATGCAAGTTATTTATAAAATTATCTCCGAAATTTTTCTGCCACCCAGGAAACAGAATATTGAGCCAATTCCGCCCCAACAAAGGTGTAAAGACTTTCCCAGATTTAATAATCGTTAATGGTAAACCAGTGTGAATTTTGCCTAACTCAACCTCAACAATACATTCCCCAATAGCCTTAATATCCTGACCAGAAACTACATTATAGTTATTAATGATACAAGTTCGATATGAACGCCATAATGAAACGCGTGTAACGTTAAACCACGAGGCGTCAGCCGAGTGGTTTAGTTACACAAGTTTCATTAATAAAGTTCATATCGAACGTGTATCATTCAAAATTTAATCTACAATGGTCCAAATAGATTTGATTTGCCTTGAAATAGCAAAAACTTTTCAAATTAAAATTTGAAATTTAGCAGGTGCCCGTACTAGTCGAGAACCTGCTTGTTGGTTTTTAGAATTTTGACTTTGGCAGCTTCAATATTGAAGTCCATTTTTGTGCCATAAATTCAATTTTATAGTGAAAAATAATATTATTATTGGTGAATCTGAGTTCGAAAGTGTCTCTTCGAATATAGAGACAGCATTATTGAAAAGGTTCTTCTGGTAACTAACTTTCTTTTTGTATATTTTTCATTTCAAAATTTGGGTGTTATTATGAATTCTTAAACGCACTAGTGCTATTATGAAGGACCTAATGACATTCAAATGACAATGCTAAATGTGTCATAATGACACCGACGTAGATTAAGTTTATAAGACACCGGACTTAATTTAATATTAAAAAAATTACGAAACTGACAAATAGACATAACTGATTTACATGCACCTGTATCTACCTCAAAATTCACAATTATATTATTAATCTTCAACTTTACATGATATGCAGGAACATTCTTATCTTGCATATTGTTTATAGACCACAAATCACTACCATCAAAATCTACCTCTTCACTCTCAGATAATACTTCTACAGCACCAACTGTAGATTTTCCTTGTTGAGGACACAGTTGCTTGACATGGCCAAATTTCAGACATCTGAAACACTTCCAATTCACAGCTGGGCACTTATTCTTTGGATGGGCTCGACCACATTTGAAACACTTTCCCTCAACAGGCTTATTTTGCTGAAAATCTGTTACTTTAGGCTCTAATTTAGAGTTATTACTGTACTGTCCCTGATTAAATTTATACGGTTTTTGATAAAAACTATTCACTGTGCCAGCTGACGTATCTACTAGAGTTTTAACTTGCTTTTGTGCGATCTCCGAGGCTTGAGCCATTTGGCAAGCACTACTAAATGTTAACCCAACATCTGATAATAATTTTTTTTGAATATTTTCTGCGTGTATGCCACACACAAATCTGTCCCTAAGAGCGTCATCTAAAAATTGTCCAAAGTTACAAGAACTTGCTAATTTTCGCAGTTCTATAATATAATCAGCTATCGATTGTTCACTCTTCTGATTACATTTATTAAAAACAAAACGTTCATAAATTTCTGACACTGGAGGTGAATAATTTTTAAATAGTTTATCCTTAATCTGAGCATATGTAAAGTCTGTAGGTTTTCCTGGAACTACTAAATTCTTTAAAGTTTGATAAACACTTGTACCTGCCAGAGTTATAAAAAGTGAAACTTTAAGTCCCTCTTCTACCACATTAACCTTAAACAGATGTTCCATTCTTTCCATATAAGATTCGAATTCTTCCCCTTGATTTCCCTTGAAAGGTTCAATGTGTCCAATTAATGCCATTTTCTTCCGTTAACTTTCAATTAAGTAAAAAAAAAATGTACTCTGGAACATGGGTCGTATTTTCGAAACCATTCGAATGCCGTTCGTATACGAAATAAGGCGAAATTCGCATGAAAATTGAATTTCCGTATTTTCGAATCGCTTTCGAACGGTCCGTACACGATTTGGTTCGTGTACGTTTACTCGAGTGGGTCTCCACCAGTCGAATTTCACATTTCGCATGCGATTTTAGTTCATTCTGCGCACTGTTTGCAATTTTGCTTATTTTGTTTATATACGTTACATTTGTTGTTTATGTACCTAAATACGTTGTGCAAATTGAAAATTGTGTTCGTTGTTCCTTCTCCTTTTGACTTTTCATTCGTTTCCAAATAATTTGTGAATTAAATTGTCCTGCTTTATTAAAAAACAGTTATTGGAATGGCTAGCTTGGATTATTTAATCGAAAGAAATGTTATTGATGCCCTCGAAGAAGCAAAAATACTGGCAGATCGTAGGGATAGGGTGTTACATCCCTTTATTGATCCGCTGGAAGAATATTGGTGTAGGTAGGTACTTAGTTCCGAAAATTATATCGCCTGACGAAGCTACTCACCTTGGAGTTGATAGAGCTTTTAGAGCCCCATCCAAAAACCATGATTGTTCATTAACGCTATAAAAGCAAGGATGTTCTCAATAGGAAATCCCAACGATTAGGTGCACGAAATTTATTTCAGCAAGATATATACCAGCATTTAAAAAGTCAGATGTCAAAAAAATCTTCTTCGTTTTTGTATCTGTCGAAATGGCCATTATCAAATACTCGAATTTGCGACGTTGTCAACGCAAATAATACTCGTATACGATATAATTTTCGAAGGGTCTTCAAAAATACGCAATTTCGTTCGTACACGACATTTTTCATTCGAATTAAATCGCATGCGAAAGAATTCGCATGGTTTCGAAAATACGACCCCTGGGCCTGTATTCTCGTAACCAGGGAACACCGTTCTCTCAAGAGAACGGTTGCTCTATCTTTGTCAGTATTATGGAAATAACAATATGGGTGACTAAGACAGAGCAATCGTTCTCTTGAGAGAACCCTGTTCCCTGGAGACGAGAATACGGGCCCTGCTGATAGTTATTGTATACTCGATTCGCTGTTCGTACCGTTCACCACTCAATGTCAACGTCTCTAACTTGACGTTCCCAAACTGCCAAACTTACCCTCAAACAATTTCAATAAAACCATCCCATCCTCGTCGCCAAATGTAGTGTATTTCTGAGGAACTGAAGAAAACACGTTGGGTAACTTCTAGGATATATTAACTTCAGTATGAGGATAATTATTTTGGAAACTCAGGGCTAGGATATGTTAATGTACACACTACCTTTTTAACTGTACCTGAGTATTATTCATTATTCTAGTTGCTAACCAACCTTTCAATTATATAGTCAGTGGCATACATAACAGATATATTTAGAAAATCCAAGGAAATATTCAAAATTCCTGCCGATGGAATCGTTAATGCATTGTGTTTTACTTCTGATTTAGTCTCAGTCAGTCATCGGGATTACAGATTGGGCATATGAAATACAGTTAAAACTGCTAAAAATTGCATACTTGTTATACCTTTTAATATTTCTAGCTGATTGTTACATTTACATAAACCTTTTTCCTTTCCTATTATTGTGTTGAGTAAGATTTTCTTATATTTTACTGGTTACAGACAATCAATCATCATTGTTAGAAAGTTTTTACAGGTAATGACCAACGTGAATTCAGGGAGACAACAGTCCCTGTTTGGGAATCGACCCACTGAGCAGTGGACTCAGGCTTCCCGTGCCAATCTTTGACGCGTTTCGTCCTTGTTAGGTCTCATCAGAAGAACATGTGTCCTTGAATTCACGTTGGTCATTACCTGTAAAAACTTTCTAACAATTTTCATTGCCAACAAAAGCTCGAACCAATCAGTGTAGTTCAACGCCGGTAGGGGTATTTGCCCTCGGAGTAGTTGTTTCTGACTGGTCAACGAAGTTCAATCAATCATCATTTTTATAGTTTAATTATTTCTGAGTTAGTTTAAATTCGGTCTCATGATTCTTTGATGAAAGTACCTACCTTGAACGCATTCCGATACTTGTTCGACATAATATGGTACAAAAGTGGGTTGACGCAGGTCGACAAAAAGTAGAGTACTCCGCTAGTGTACACCAAGTACTCGTACATTTGTAGGTAGGTCGTTTGGGCTTCTTTTGATGCTTCGGCCAGGTAGACTGCCAGAAGACGTTGGGCGTGGAACGGTGCCCAGCAAATGAAAAAAGCTGCAACAACGGCGACTGAAACAAAGATATTTCGTTTTTAATTATAAATCAAATTGACTAATAAATTTTATATTCAGCATTCAACAGAAGAAATGAAGTTTTCAAATAAAGCTCATGCTTTCTGCATGAAATATACTACAGAAATCTAATTCCTTCTAAGAAATATAAAACATCTTTTAAAAATCATGAGCTAATTTCGGTAGCTGACATATTTATCAGCGATTTCCCGGCACCATTCTTCCTAATTCGAGCATCAGCCAGAAAAAAAAAACTGGAAATGGACATAATTGACACGAATTCGAACCAAAATCAACAGGGGGAAAATTAAACTCAGACCGAGATTAGAAAGACAGAAGTCAGTAGTTGGCACATTTTCCTCTTCGCATGAATAAATAAGTATTTTTATTTTAACCCTCCAAGACTATTTTTAGAAAAAGAGACACGTATATTTTTCCCACTGATAATTGAAATACCACTGAAGCCGACTTGAAAAAGAGAAGATCAAATTTCTATTGAAGCTCAAAATATTGTGTATGTATATTTCCCTTTTAAATTTTTGCATTTTTCCCTACAGGATTTCTGTTACAAAGCAATGTGATCACGTTTATTGTTCAGATAACCTAATTTTCTTTTTGGGTTAATGTAACCAATATGGCCAGGTTTTGAGTAAACATCACATGTTGTTTACATCAAACTGCCTCAAGGGTATATTTAATAACAATAAGCGACTGCATAAACATGTTTTCATGTTGAAAATATATTTTTTAAATTTAACACAATTATAAAATAGCTATCATACAATAATGAAATGTGAATTTTGTACAAGCAAATCTACATAATGTATAGTCTTATGATGGGCTATATTTTTCTGTAAAGTTTAAAATTCCAAAAGTTGATAGCAAATAAACTTTGGTAAACTCTTAAAAGATCAACTTCAAGCTCAAAAGTTTCACGTAGCTACCTATTGGAATTTCATACTTTGAAACTACTTAAAATTTCTTCAATGTAAACAGCGGTTTTATTGAATAACTCTGGAAATTCTATATTACATAAAATCCCAATCAAGTTTGTATAACTTGCTATTAAAAAACTTTTTATAAAAACCTTGACATTTTTTTGTTCTAAACCATAAACTCCATACATTACACAATCTAGATTTCAAATTAGGAAAACTTCAAAACTGTACCTACCCGAAAACGGTATTCAGGTTAATAAGATCTACTCGAGAGACAGAATAATTCAACTTTAACGCGCGAAGTTTTGATGCGGATAAATTAAACTAGAACAAGGGCAGGGAAAGATTAATTCGGAGAATTATCTAGGCGAAGAAATTAGACTGATAAGTACTTTCGGTGACAGTAATTTTACTTTTTTTTTTTTCTGTAGTTTGTTCAAATATTTGGGTAAATGAAATTAGAGATGATGAGGCAACTGAAATTCTCTTCTAGTAGATGGAAATAACTACATTAAACATTGAATTAGGATGCAACAGCAAGTTGCATTGTTCCAGTTTTATAGAATGTTAAATTGTTGAAGTTACCTAGCTCAAACTGAAAATTAGGGAGTATGTAGCAATGGTAATGCAGTTATCCTTTTTGGCTCTTTGCCATTTTAGAAATATGGTTGTTAAATTATTTTCCCGCGGTTATCCCGGAGATAATTCCAATCTTCCGCAGAAAGATAAATTTGGGGATTGGCCCTTTCGCAGCCAAAAGCCTGGAAATATGAATTCATAAATGCAATTATGTAAACGCAAGCCCCGTAAAATTCGAGGCGAAAAAGTCCCGGGAAAGAGAGATTTATCCTTGTTAAACTTTGGCATAAGAGGAGGTTGAATATGGGAAAACGTTTAAAAAAATCAGCTTTTGAAGCTCCAGCAATTTTGATGATTGATTATGCATTTAAATATTTTTAAAATATCTGAGGAGCTTAAATAAATCAAAAATGACTTTGGAAACTTTGAACTTGGATATTGTTGGCTTGTTCCGAGTGACAATGGAATTTATGAGGTTGTGACAATATTTCTTGAGGGAAAAAATTATTAAACTAGGTAAACAGAAAACTATACAGTTAGCCCAAGAAATTTATACCTGGGCCGCAAAAAAATTTTGCGAGGGCAGGCTGATTTTTCCAGGGCTGATTGGGCAGTGTGTCCTGAGTATTGAGCCAAAAAATCACACTCGAAAGCCTTGTGCGTTCGGCCTTATTGGCCTTTTTCTTATTTATTTTTTTTCGAAAAAATGACCTCTACAAAACTTGTAGATAATTACATTCTGACCAACTTTGCCTTATGACTTTTTTTGCTAGCGATTTTACTTTAGGCGCTGTGGCCACTTTAGTTCTCTAGAGCGACAAAGTGAAGGATTTTGACGTATTTTGACGCTTTGGCAATGTAGCGGTCATCAGGAAACGTCTACTTTGCGAGCATAAATCTAATCGACAAAGTCTACTTTCTAGGCCAATTGTAGAAAATAGCTATTTACCTAACAAGTGCGGAACGGAGTTCGGTGAAGCAGCCGAGTGCGGAAAAATATTTTCCGCAAGTGTTAGGTACAATATTTTTCCTACAGGCGTAAAAATGTAAAATGTTTCTTTTGTTTTTGACATATCAGTGCGGTAAAATTTTTTCCGCACTGACAGCCGTGCGGAAAAACTTTTTCCGCACTGATATGCGTGCGGTAAAAGTTTTACCGCACCGTGCGGGAAAACTCATTTTCCGCACGCATATCAGTGCGGAAAATCGATTTTTCCGCACGGCTGTAGGAAAAAAACATTTTGTCACTTTTCAAACAGGTAACAGGTCCCAGTATTGTCAAAAAAAAAAACATCATTTTGATTTCACGCTTTCACTCCGGGAAAATAATTTCACCGGATTAGTGATGTAATGTATCATTTCTTGGACTGAAACCGAAAACCTAATGGAGTACATTACCAGTAATTTTGCTGTTACAATAATCTGCAGGTTTGCTATTTAATTTTTTTGCGAATTCTGGAGCACTAAAATAGCCGCACCGCCTAAACTACAATAGCTAGAAAAAAAAGGCATGAGGCAAAGTTGATCAGAATGTTATTATCTACAAGTTTTGTTAAGGTCATTTTGTCGAAAAGAAATAAATAAGAAAAAGGCCAATAGGGCCGAACGCACAAGGCTTTCAAGTGTGATTTTTTGGCTCAATACTCAGGACACAGTCTCCAATCAGCCTAGAAAAAATCAACATGCCCTTATAAAATTTTTTGATAAACCCATAAATTTTTTGGGCTAAGTCTATACATCAGAATTCTGGGAAAGAATAAGGACGAAAAAAAAAATGGAAGAAAGGAAATATCTTAATTTGAATAGTTCAACCTGCTTATTCATTCTCGGAGTCGGTGTATTTTTTGTATGTATTTACATTTTCAATAAAACCACCCACATGCAGAAAATACATATTTTGAAGCACAGAAAATACGTGGAAATGTGTCGCTCATCGAAAACTTGAAAGGACAAGATAGGTATTGTGGAAGTTTTGTTGCCTCAGGTGTCTTTCCAAAAGGAGATCCAAATATTTCAAGTATTAGGTAGGTAGGTAATTTAGATGTCTGTCCTTAATGTGAATTTAATTTCAGACTATATTAATTTGTTTCTAAGATGAAAAATTTTAAGTCATGAAAAAGTTTTAAGCTTAAATATCAGCGTTGTTTCCAGAATTATATTTTATAAAAGCTTCCTTTCGACAAACTGGTAGCTTTTTTAAAGAGCTTAAGTAAATATTCAAGTTTATTCCATTTTAACAAGCAACTCTATTTCTAAGCAGAGGTATTATTTAACTTTTTTTTGCAGGAGGAAGAAGAATGGAGCCAATTTAATAGGTAGGTATTATCATGACAACTTCTATTTGATGAATAATGTTTGAGTAAACTTAAGGCCGGTATTTCAATGGGGTTTCGTGCGGTATGTGACCACATTGGAGGTAACATAACCTTAAAATTAGTGTATTTTTGAAATTTTGCCGTCTAGCCCTTCTATTCTAATCTTTTGAAAAATTGTTTCTTATTGAAATATAATTCACTTCCTTGGATAGTATATATAGAATAGGGTCGAAATACTCTCGTATTGTGCCATTGTAGGATGTAGAAACAATGCCGCCGAATATACAATATAAACGTAAATAAATGTCTTTATAAACTATTGAATAGCAAATCAAACAAAAATTAAGCAAACATATAACTAATGGCTGTGTGCACCAACCATTTTAAGGGAGGTTTAACGATAATCAAGGTTGTTACGATAAATTTATCTTTACGTAACATGTTCCATCTCTTCTTATTCTAGTGGATTTTTATCTATTCTCTTTTATTCTACGTGGGTTTTCATTGTAAAGTGAATATGATCTTTTGGGTGTACTCGTCTGATTGGTTGAACTGGATAAAATGAAGTTGAGTATAAAAAACACAGGATCGTTTTCCTGTGGGCTTTAGTTTCTAAAACATTCTCTTTCCTCGATAGACGTCTGGCAGGTAAGTCCTCTTTATTTCGAATAATTTTTGCTTTGTATTTTTGGATTCTCCCTTATGGATTTTTCAATATATTTTGCTATCAATTCATATTATCATAGCAGTGTTAACTTTTTACCTAATAAATCTTATCTGTTCTTGAAATATAAATATTATATATTTTTTTAATCTAATTGTGTGCTTCCATTTTGTGTGAGTGCCGATTGATAGTACCACGTTTTCCTAAGGTAAGTCAATTCAGACTTTTGGACTTGACTAGGTACTGCTGCTCTGGTTTTCAAAATCAATTATTAGTTTGGGAATATTAGACCATTTGCTCTAAATAGAGTCGGTGAAAACCAAATTTGTGTGTCCATCCCTATCAACTCTTTATTGAATCCAGGCAGAGGCCTGAATAGCCATTTTCTGTTTGACTCCGTCAATTATTATCTCGACTAAAGGGTGTAATATTTTTTAATAGAAATCCAGACAGGTCAAAAATTCAGTTAAACCGTTTTAATTAAAACATCTCAAGAATTTTGACATATTCTGGATTTGATTGATTTCACCGTTAGGTTTATCTAGTAGTATCTATTGTGGCTACCTTAATTTAAAAGGAAAATTTTGTCTATTTGGGGGAGAATCCAAAGATTTAATTTCTTATTGTTTTACCTTATTTTGTTCGTATTTTTGCCTGCCAGAGCTGCTGTCAGGAAAGCAGCATTTCGCTCAATCATAACAAGCATTTTAATTAAATCTTGTTATTATTTTAATTTTATTATCATCTTACCATTATCCTCAATTATTTAATTGTATTTTTTTTATATTAAAATATATATTTTTTTTTCCTTCATCTTTTCCTTCATTCCTGTTCATACCTGATTCTGTTGGAAGGGAGTGTCTGTACAACAATCATTTTATATTAAATCTCAATTTCAATTTCCTTTGCAAGACACTCACTTTTTGATAGAATTCAGGGATTTAATATTCCAAATATTGGTGAACCTGATACTACCTTATTCTTTACTGGGTCACTACTTGACATGAAGAGTCTGGATCAGCTGGAGTGACGTCACCCCAGCAATTTATCCTCTTCCTGGACACAGGAAACAACACGAAGAGCTCCAGTTCACGAAAGTGAAACCCCAACACCCATTGAAGAGTTCCGGATAGAAAAGGTACATGGTATCAGATTCACCAGAAAAACCAAGCTGTCAACATTAAAATGTTACAGAAAGTAACATTTACTGTTATTCTATATTACAGAACATTGTAAACGAAATAAAATTATTGTCTGTTGGATTTTGAGTGGTTTCATTTGCACATAAAGGGACTACACATTATCTTATTTTTTTTTGAATTCCAAGACCCTATAGGTTATCTTGTCTTAAAGTAACAAATGTCAGTTAATTTGTAACAAGGTTTAAACTGACATTTTTACATGTATAAAGGTGTCACTTTAAACGTTGATTATCGCCTAACCTCCTTTAAAATGCTCGGTGCAAACGGCCCACCAACCACCGAAAAAATATCGAAAGAAGAAAGCATGACACTCCAACTCCACATAAACCAATGGGATAAGGTTAGGTTGTCTTACCTCCAGTGTCAATTTAGTGACGTCACATGCACGATACCAATACAACCCCAAAATCAAGACAAGCTAAGGTATACCCTTAAGGTTAAGGTATACTTGAAATCAGTGTCTTTAGGTGAGTCGAAAGTCCACCTTAAATTAAGGGAACTTTGATATGAAATTAAACTTGTATTGGGGATGACTTAATACCTTGCCCTTTATACCAATTTGTGGACAAAAACTATCTTCGCAGACACATTATTTTATTAAAAATAACAAAATATGTATAACTTGCAAAAAAATAGCTTGAAAAAAGTCAATCTAATTGGAAAAATGTGTGACAGCCTAGGCCAACAAAACATCAATTTTAGACCCATTCAAGGGTACACTTCCCATAATAATACTTCCACTCCAGAGGAGATTTACGTTCACAAATCAGCAGTTTTTCGCATCTCCGACCAAAAAAAAAAAACGAATTCCCTGACATTTTTTGCGTGTTATTCAAGACGGTATAAATATTTACGGGTCAACGAACACACCAAATTTTATGAAGCAAAATAGTTATTGAGGAATCGGCATGGAAATGTTCGAATTGAATGCGATGAAATTTAATGTTAGTTTTTGAAGTTGCAGGAGAAATAGAATTAACATTGTTCCCTATTTGTATTCTCTCGTGAAATGTTCTCTCTTGAAAAATAGCCTTAAAGCATGTTCTCCTCAGCTATTTTGGAGGAGTGACACGACCGGAAAGTCTAATGTTAGAAGATTTGACTGAATTATCATAAGGTGAGCCATTGGAAATTTAGTCACGATGTATCGTTTCGAGGGAGCGCACCCGGCTTCCTGTGTAAAACAACTTTATTGGTCATTATTTCTTGGAAAACGTGCAATAACTCAAAATTCAAACCCTGTCACATTTTCCTTTTTCTCTTTAATTGCAAAATTTTGAAACTTTTGGTTGTGACGTGACAGCGCAATGTTAGGGGAGAAACTCATTTCGACTGACTTTGAAAAGGTACTTAAAAAGTCACAGTAGGTATTGAAAGTCATGACTAGAAATGAACTAACAAGTTTTCACAAATTGAAGGGAATATATATTTATAAGAGGAAATATATACTTACTCAGCATTTTAACTACCCTATTCTGAGCTTGCGTGTGTCGCAGTCGTTTCTTTGCCGCTTCTGAGTTATTGCAATGACTAGAATATCTGTTGGCGTAACAATTGTTGCTGTTGTGCTGAGTCAATGATGGTCTTTTGGCTGTCGACTTCTTCAACTGTCTACCAATGAGAATGTAGAGTACCGTGATTAATGTCATTGGAGCTACGAAGAATACCATGGTGGAAACCTGAAACAAATTTGAAGTTTTGTCACTTTTGTTGATCATTGTTTAATAACAGATGTAGAAAGATCTACAAAAATAAGTGATCATTACTGGATATGTATAACCATTGAAAATATTTATGATTATTCCACTCATGTGTTAGAAATCCCATAAGACAAGTGACGATTTTCAGAATTACAGCGATAATTCTCCCATGTTATTGTATACATGGTTTTCATGCTAATTTTTGATACAAACAAACGGTTCCTGATAGCAACCATTTATTTGTATTGATTGTTAAGATGTTTAAATCGTTTAATACATATTTATTTACATATTTTTTTGCATTTTCATACGTGAAATAATCCTCTAAATACCACTTGAGCTTTAAAATGAACCAGATAATTTTTCACTCATGCGTGTTTTCTCTGCAAATTATAGAAAACACGCAATCGTGAAAAATTATCGGTAATTTTGAAGCTCTCGTGGTATTATCCCCGAAAGTTTTGAAAAAATTACATTGTATTGCCAACACAATGATATTTTAACTTTTATCTTTTAAAAAAAAAACAGATTTTAGGGGAGGAGGCGACGTCACCTGACAAAAAGCGGTAGCGGGTCCGCCATACTAGTGCTAGTTTTGTGTCATTACTTACTGACATTACAACTGTCATTAGTATAGTCAATCTAGGCAGGTTTATGCAGGTGAGGTAGAAAAAATTAGTAACAAAGTGATCTTTGCGAAAATGAGTAGTCGATAGGGTCCTAATTAATCCCTCACTTTGTCGCATCGGTGGAACTTGAAAAAAAATGGCCGCCATCTTGATTTTTGTCGGATTTATTGAATATTTCGTGAAGTATGCATTATATCAAAAAGACTCAAGAGTGCTTTTTTGTGGAGAATAAAAAGTTACTTATAATAAAAGAAATTTCAACACTATAAGCTGGAAAACAAAAAAGTTATTTGGAATTAATTTATTTAAAAATCTGTAAATTTTTGAATTTTAGGTAAAATCGCGAAATGTATGGATTTTTCTAATAAAACTTAAGAATGCCTGTTAGTAGAGGATTAAAGATACCTATATTGACATAAAAAAAAAACAACAGTAATTATCGAAAAGTTTGGTGTCAAAGGTTTAAAGCATGTTCTCAAGTTTCCAGTCTTTCTCTTTCACTACTGTGAAGGTTTAGTGATTTTTTTATAAACCTTAAAGTATAGAATTTAATTTATTTGAATTACTTAGTGTCTATCCAGACAGTACACAGACATCTTAAAGACGTCCCTAAGATGTCCACAAACGACATTCAGGACGTCATTTAGACGTCGGCTTAGGTCTTCAAGGCGTCTTAAAGACATCCGAAAAACGTCGTGTTACAAAACCCAACGTCTTCCAGACGTCTGCCTAAAGACGTCTTCAGAACTGATATTTTATTAATATACTCATTTTTTAACTTCCAATTTTTGTCTATTCTAAACTCTAGGGTCTTAAATTATTGATTTCTTTAAACGGAAACATACGAAAAATTCATTTTGGTAGAAAACTATTTGAAGAGACAGGACTGAAAATTGAAAAACAAGTCAAGAGCCTGAAATTCTAAAATACAGGAATAATGAGAATTCAAGAACATGGAAAAAAAATCTAAGCCAAAAGAAAATTAAGAATTTAGGATAAAGAAGTAAGGAAAAATCAAGAGCCTGGAATTGAAAAAATTATAAAAATTCAAGAATTTGAATTGAAAGAGGAACATTTTCTTGTTAATATTTCATTATTATTTATTACTCATTTTATTTTTATTATTATTATTTATTATAGGCTCTCTGGCACAATTCTGAGGTTTGTCTAAGTTGTGTGTGTTCCAAGTTGACTGGGTTCTGGAGCATTCTAGAAGTTTTCCAGTAATTTCTAAATTGGGAAGTACGCTTCTTCGAAGGATCCATGTTAAATTTCAAAATTTTCATTTGACAGATTGACAGATTTTTAAGTATTTTATTGAAGTTCCAAAGTGAAGTTGAATTGGTTTAAAAGCATTCTAAAAGGTTTCCAGTTCTAAATTGAATCGTTATTGTTCTAAAATATCTCTGAGGTTTCTAAATTGTTCCAAAATACTCCATTCTAATAATGGTTCTGAAGTTTTCAAAATGTTCTGAAGCGCTAGACAATGCTGTTGGAAATTATGAGTTGAATTTAAAGTGTTTTGAACTTTCGAAAAGGCTTATTATTGAAGTTCTAAAGTGTTCTGTAGGATTCTAAATGGTTTCAAGTAACTTCTAAAATTAAATGAAAAACGAATTCTGTGGGAAATCTTCAAGGCGTCTTAAAGACATCTTTAAGACGACGTATGTTACAAAACCCAACGCCTTTGAGAAGTCTGCCTATAAAGACGCCTTTAGAACTGAGACATTCTTCGTCTCCAACGAAATTTTTAAAAGAAGTCTTTAAATCTCTTTTCAATACATGAACCGTTATTCACTTCTAGGCCTGGCTGAACGAAATAGTGTGGCTCAGTTCGGTTATCCTTGAGATGTGAATTTAGGACATCTGATTATGGAAGTTTTTAGACGTTTTTTTTTTTTTGGTCTTCAGACGGTCAGATGTAATAAAGAATGCAGACTTAAAAAAGACGTTTTTAAGACTTTGTGTGCTGTCTGTGTCTGGGTAGTTTCCTGCCCAAATGTTTTTCTGGTCATATGCTTTTTTGCTTCCTGTCAACAAAAATATTTAGATCATTAAATTTATTGAATTTTTCTTCTACTAAATGTAGTTTTTAATTCTGCACCAAAAAAAATAATACTTATTTGAGTTTTTTTCAGATGTTTTGAAAAATTCCATGTTGCCAAATGAAATAAATGTCAATAACTTATTCGTTTGCAGCTGATGGTCTTTAAATTTCTCCCATTATAGTTAACTTTTGATTCTCCACAAAAAACTCCTCTTGAGTTTTTTTGATATAATGCATACTTTACGAAATATTCAATAGATTCCAAAAAAATCAAGATGGCGGCCATTTTTTTCCAAATTCCACCAATGCGACAAAGTGCGATTTTTGAGGGATTAATAAGGACCCTATTGACTACTCATTTCCGCAGAGATCACTTTGTTACTAATTTTTTCTACCCCAACCCCCTATTTTGACTAGCCTACATACTCAATTTCTGATTTCGAGACGTAATACGTAATTTTTGCTTATTTTGGTGTTTTTTCGACTTGCTTGTGTTGTGTATGAGAGAAGTATAATGTCTTCATGTGCAGTAAGAAGTTGCTGTAGCAGGTTTGGCGTAGAAAAGAAGAAATCAACGGGAATATCATTTTATAGGTGAGTATAAACAACATTCAGGATTGGACAACAAATTTTTTGTTGTACTTTTAATATGTAGTTATGTTTTGAGAAGTATAATTTTTTAACAATTTTTAGGCCACACAAAAACAATTAAATACATGTAAAAATTGAAATACCAATAGAGTCTGAATTTTAAATATATTTGAGCTATATGAAGTAAACAAATATGACATTTGAGCTGAATCCAACCCTGATAATGCGGCCATATTGGTGCTGGAATAAGCTCCTCCTAATGATCCCGTTATCAATGCATACTCGTATACGGCAACAGCGTCTCCTTTTATATACTATCTCGAAGTATAAACCTTATGTTTGTTGATTTTTATGAAATAGTAACTAAATACATTGAAAATGTTAGGCTGGTGACACACTGGAGAAATAAGTTTCATGAAACTTCTTGGAAGAAACAGGAAATTTGTTTCATTATCACACGACAGATACATTCAAATGAGGCGGCGCACACTGGCGTTTCTGAAACAGGAGAGCAGAAATTATTTCTCCAGTGTGCGCCGCCTCATTTGAATGTATGCATCGTGTGATAATGAAATAAATTTCCTGTTTCTTTCAGCAAGTTTCATGAAACTTATTTCTCCAGTGTGTCACCCGCCTTAAAGAAGAAAAACTGTTAGAATTAGGCGGATGACACACTGGAGAAATAAGTTTCGAAACTTGTTGAAAGAAACAGGAAATTTGTTTCATTAGCACACGAAACATACATTCAAATGAGGCGGCGCACACTGGCGATACAATTTCTGGTCTTCTGTTTTAGAAATGCCAGTGTGCGCCACCTCATTTGAAAGTTCTGTGTGATAATGAAACAAATTTCCTGTTTGTTTCATGGAACTTATTTCTTTAGTATGATATTCGCCTTAGTGTGAAGTGCGGAGAGAAAGACTTTAGTTTAGGTCATGCAAATATCCCCACGGATGTATGATTTGAAACTAATGTTTAATTCTATAAGTTTATATTTATTCAGGAAATACAATTTTTGCCTACAAAAGCGGAGAAATTATTAAATAACGTGTGATTACGTGCCAATGCCATTACGTTCGGTGGCTAAAAGTCATAGCAACTTATCAATAATACTAACAGATGAAATCTGAATAAATTGGTTTTAGCAATCATCTGAATGTAACGCACTGGCGTTACATAAAACTAAATATACCGCCGCCTTTGAAAGTACTGCGGCATCTTTCAATAGACATAAAAAGTTTAAATATCAAGTAAAATCTAACAATATTTAAACTGGATTGAACAGACTATACAAGGGTCAATAACTAAATCTATAAGTACAAAGATGGCCCCACGTTGGGCGCCAATTTGTTATGTGTCTAGAGCTACATGGGGTAGATAAGAGAGAAAAGAGTGAAGGAAGGGATATGACTCCTCAAGGTGGCCTAAAGAAGAAATCCGACTTATAGGGAAGCTCCGACTAGCCCACAAAATTCCGGTGAGTGGTAAATGCGCCACCTGTTTTCAACCTTGCAGTAAGTCGGTTTCTGAACGAAAGATATTTCAAAACAGGAAACAGCCTATAGCATACAAAGAATCAAAAACACCAAAGAAAGGAAGGTTTAAAGGCGATCATCTTTAACTGAAATCCCCTAGGATTGGAGAACTCGTAATCACACCGCAATCTGAAAAGTACTGAAAATTCTAAATGTCAAAAATCAGCTGTAAAGGGA